CACAGCTGCCCCATGTGGGCCCTGGTCACAGTGCTGTCGCTGCTGGAGGTGGTCCCCTGGGGTGAGCCGAACAGGCACGGCTTCTTCTGTGGGGGGAAGGCACCTGAGTGTCACCCTCGCTCCCCCCCAAAGCTGTGTACCCAAGGGGACAAGGTGGGGCTGTGGCAGTGTGCACACACAGGGGTGGGGCTGTGGCAGTGTGCACACACAGGTGCAGGGTGAGGTGGGCGGTGGCAGTGCGCACACACAGGGGTGGGCGGTGGCAGTGCACACACAGGTGCAGGGGGAGGTGGGCGGTGGCAGTGCGCACACAGGTGTAGGGTGGGGTGTGGCAGTGCGCACACACAGGCGTGGGCTGTGGCAGTACGCACACACACGGGTGGGGCGGGCCTGTGGCAGTGCACACACATGCACTCAGGGGGCGGAAGGGGGCGGTGGTGGATGACGCGGGCAGGCCCTTACCTGAGCCTGGCCCCGAACGGTCATGTTGGTCTTGAGCATGTACCGCAGGGTCTCCAGAGGCACCTTCAGCAGCCGCCTGGCGCCCTGACGGACAGACAGCGAGGCTGAAGGCAGGCGCCCAGCGCGGAGCCGCCACCTGGCAGCACGCGAACCGTCACCCAGACCCCAGAGCCAGCACCACGCTGGTGAGGAACATGCTCTGGGTGCCTAGGCAGGGCCTCCCCAAGACAGGCACACGCCTGGCAGGCCAGCGGGACTGGAGCCCAGGCTGGGAGGCGGCTCCTCCTTGCCCACTGCCCTGCCCAGCTGGGGGGAGATGCTGCAGGAAGGGCTCCAGGCCTACGTGCCCTGAGCAGCTCTCCTGCGTGGCTTTCACGGCAAGTAAGGCCATGGCCTCGGTCGGAAGGCTGCTGCTGGGCCCCCTCCTGACACGGGTCAGGAGTAAGCCTCGTCAGAGCAAGGTGGGGGTTCTGCCCACATGTGGGACCACAGCTGGCACGAGATCAGGCCGGCCCACTGCCCTGAGCACCAGCCTGGTGGCTGCCGAGCGGCAGCATCCAGTCCCCAAGCATGGGTACACCAGGGCCATGCCCACCTCGTTGGCCGGCCCCTCGGAGCTTGTGGGATGAGTGTCCTCGCAGTGTGGGGACCCGATGCCGCCCAGGCTGGCGCTGTGT